GTGTATAATTCGTGATCTTATTATTGATAAAGTCGTATAAGATCGTTCACAATTGTCAATCGTTCATTAAAAAATACTTGGTTAAAAACGAGGTTTTTCTGTAGAAAACTGCATTTTTACAAATTTTTCAGCATTTTGGACAATTTTTAATTTTATATTCGAGCTCAGCAAATTCAAAAACATAAAGATAAAATATTTTTTCAGTGTATTTTTTTACTATTCTTTATGTTATTTTTATATTAAGCTTAAAGTCAAAATAACAAACACGAATGCAAGAAAAAGTCGGTGAATGTCAATTAATTAACATTCGTAATTCATTAATAAGTAACGCACCATGAATGAGTTATTTTTACACAAAGATTAGAGTGGACTTTCTGGGAGAGATATGTAAAACATTTTAAAATTAACATTTTATTTTTTACTGTGAATGTATATACATTAACAGTAGCTTTCAATTCTGACAAGTTAAAGCGTTGCAATTTCATTCGGGAAAAAGTGTGCAACCGACTATACTCCATTTCATTCACTTCCTATTGACCATATAAATCAATTTTTCAAGCACGATTAATACGTCCTCTACCACGGTTTATTTAAAGGACCTTTCCCACTTTATATTTTTTCTTTTTTTACAAAATTTTGCAAAATATATTTAGTTTGATCACACACATATAGATATAGAAAAAAATTTATTTACCGTTACACATACGACGCTGATTTATAGTGAGATATCATTGTGTTATATATGTGTGAAATTGGTAGCGAACGTGTTAATTATGCTTTATACGTAATTTAATTGGTAGAGAGAATACTATTGTGCCAAATTATGCCGGTGACCGTTACGGCATTCAACATCTTACGATTTGAATTTGTTTTAATCCTGAGTAGGAGAGATCGGATCTAGATAGTCTCAGGGGTATGTTACTTATGTGCTTTCTTTAGTGATCTTGAGAAGAACAGTGGATACAAAATCATGAAATAATCCTTTTAGAGCAGAGATATTTTTCCCTGTGTTGCATTAAAATCGGAGTAATATTATAGTTAAAAAATAATTAAAAAATAGAAACGACTGGTCTAGTAGTAGCAAAGTAAATTTCCGCGCCTCTCAAAATTTTGTATCAGTATCCTCTATCATGTAAAGTCAAGCGATATGTTACACTAACTAGAATGAAGTTTCTTGCAAGTATATGACATACTCTGTTTCGGATAATTAAAGCAATTTATGTGTTCATAAGATGATTGAAATCTACCAGCATATAGTCGAAGTAAAGTTGAGTCATAATTAAAGGCCGGCAGCAGGACTGTAGAGACCTTTCACGGAGATTACGGAACTACTAATTAGAATATACATATTTATGTGTGGCCTTTTCACCCTACGCTGAAATTGGTACCAGGACAAGATGACTACGTCAGAAATATATGGTTGACAGGATTGTGACGCGCATTAATACATAGAAGAAGGCTGTTTCTATCATGTTTATATAATCAGTCACAACAATTAGTTGCTTGAGAAGTTGTAACTTCGAAATTTTAAAATATGAGGCATCTAGTCCTGGTCGCACCTATACAGGGTGACATCGAACAAGGTGATCAAACTTTGGTACGATATTCTACTCTTCCTAAGGATAAAAAAGATCATATAAACATAGCTCCGGAAACTCGTCCTTTTCGAGATATAAATACTTTTTTGTTTATGATTGAGTATTGTAGGAATGTTTAAGGCTCCTGGCTAGTCAGGAGAGAAGTCCGCTTTGACGGTGGCAACACAGCCATTAGTGGTAGAAGTAAGAACTTCGCTCATCGTATGTATATGTATGTGTGCGTATGTGTGTAACAGCCACCTAAATTTTTCCGTCCAAATCACGGCGTTATTATTGACTGTAGTGCTTACATATCACACATAACACAATTGCGGAAGTGTTAAAATACTCCGGATATTGTGTTTTTAATATTTTAACTATAATAGTACTTATTCTATCATATTCCGCACTGAGTCTCATAGCTGATCTCCTGTCAAAATAAGCCGATTTTCACACGTATATTTAGCAGTGTTGTAAATATTATTTCGGGAAATGAACATTATTCGGAGCATTTTACGA